TATATTAAGTTTTCGTACCCGGCAAAACATCGGTATAAACATGCAAAAGTCAGGCGTGTACGACTGTACGACTTATTGCAGTGTTACCGTACCTATCACTGACGGCCGAACCGGAAGGATAAATGCTCTGTCAAAAACAATATAATAGGTTAAGAGTATTTGTAACAGTAAACCTGTATTTCAGTCACGATTTAGACCCGAGTGACTGACAAAACTGTGGCAATTGTATTTGATGGATTTCAATTTTGAAAACGGATTATGATTCTTTAGTCTGTTTAATACATAGTGTATGTTGTCATTTAATTATTTTAATTTTACAGATTTAACAAATTTCATTTTAGATTCTGAGTAGAAAAAGAAGCTTATGGTTTTACAAAAATGGTTTTTTTTTTTTTTAACGACTTTTCTACCAGAAGGCCTGCTCGGATTTCTATGTGTAGCACATTTTATGATCGGCGTGGAAAGGTACTTTATAGAAGTAATTTTTCAATTTTCTTATCAGTTTTGAAAAACCAAAAAATAACGGGAATAGGTACGCAATGTACCTATTCCTAAAATGTATTACTAAAATTACGATTTTTCTGTTGACAATTTTTTTTCCAGCAATTTTGCTCCAATTTAAAATAATAACAATGTTTTTAAAAAGGAATTTGATTGGGAATGTACTTTGAGGAGGTAATTTTTCAATTTTCCTACGAGTTCTCCAGAAAAATGTGAAAAACCGGGATAAATCATTGGCAAACCGGGAAAAGCGTAAGAAAACTGAGAAAATCGGTACAACATTGAACAAATATTATTATGAAAGCATATTTAAATAAGACATGTATATTGCTGACAAAGCATCGCTATCAACTGAACTCAGCTTAGTTGAGCAGTAGAGCAAGTTGCTTTATCATTGCTTACAGGTATACATTGAATTACCAATAGCAGCGGCTACACCCATCCCTATTATCCTAAGACGTCTTTTTTTTAATTATATTTTTCCGTTTTATTATGAATAAGATAATTAAAATCATACGATAGTAATTTCAACGTAACCAAGTAAAGCGCGTAATATATCATATATTATCAATATTAAAATCTACTAAACGCATTCCCACAGTTTTGTCCGGGTTTTTGGTCGAAAACATAATATTCGTCTGTAAAAATGGCTGTACTTCTTAGATATCAGGCAGTACGTGATTGGAAAAGTCGTATTATTAAGGTAATAATTAAAAACAAAACAAAATAATCAAATTTTACAAAATTTAAGACAATTTAAAAAACCGTTACCAATTCTTTTAATGATATGAGTATACGTATTTTAACTTGATAGTTCTTTCAGTGGTAAATAAAATAAATATAGTCTACGGATTTCATAAAATGTTCGAAAGTATTCAGACGTAAATTTTTTGTTATAAAGCAATAAAGTAGATATTTAATTTTCATTAAATTGCAAGTCGGTTATCACTATCTAACGAGGGTGAAAACTATTTTATATAAGAAATTGTTCTCTCATTTATTGTACACTGTAATTACATGTCAACTATTGAATACTGCCCGTTGATACTATTTGACAGTCTACGATCGGATAGTAAGTACGTACTTAAAAAAAAAAAAAATACGCCAGGAAAACAATAATTAATGCAAAAGTTTCCGCTTTTCAGATTATCGCCCTGCAGTGCACATAAACCTACAATAATAGGCCAATCGATTTAACGTCACGATGCATAATACATAGGGAGATTCATTATCCTTGTTTTATATACATACCCATAACCGTTAACCACAGTTTATATATTATTATATAACATATTTTATGCGTTGTATGAAAGTAAAACCTTACTAAAACCTGTGACTTATAACGGCCTTTTTTATTTTCTTTGCACAACTTTTCTACCAGCGATTTCGCTCCAACATTTAACCTAGTTTTTCCTGTGGTTTTTCCCGGTTCCCCCCTATTTTTTTTCTCATTTTTTATGAAAACAGCCGGAAAACCAAAAAAATAATCTCCCTAAAGTATCATTCCAGTCAGATTTCCTTTTAGAAAAATTGCTATACTAGAAAATCGGAGCAAAATTACTGGTAGAAATGTTGTTCACAGATAAAAATAATTAATTATCATCGTAAAACCAATACATTCCTCGCTCGGTTCAGATTCGAAAATACTGTTTTTTAAGATTTTCCATATACCTTTTATGTATTATTTTATAACTTTAAAACGTATTTGTTTTTTAACTAAAAAGTTCTATATTTCATATGAAATTTTAGAAGCCATTATTAACATAAAAACCCGTTTACCGTCGGCAATATAAACGTTTTGTATTAAGAAACACTTAATAATTTTCTTTGTAGAATATTATAATAAACTAGGTATAAAAATGCCATGGCATATTGTGGTACCGAAAACTTTATTTATCTAATTTTTATCTCTATAAAACACAATTACTCGTATTATTATTACTCCACAACACACAGGAGGGGCGACCCTATTATATGGAAAAACGACTATTATACCCCACAGTGCTAACAAATTCAAATAAAAATCCTTTTGACATTACGCTGCGCGTTCGGTATGGTAGGTAACTACAATAAAAAAGTATTAAATTATGTATATACCTACCTATTGCTTGTATGATTTACTGAATGGGTGGTTATTTTATGCTTTTTACCGAACATAAAATAAACCGATAGTTTATAATTATTATCTTATTAGAACACGCATGTAACTACTCGTGATATCATTGGTAATCGATTCACACATATCAAAATAAATGACGATTTATTGTTAACGACAAAAAAAGTCTGGCTACATAATTATATTTGATCAGTTTTTCATTCATCGATATGGATATTAAAAAAAAAAATATATATAAAAATAAAAATCGTTGCCAATACTCACACACACATTATGGTGTAAAATCACAACAGTCGAAATTTGTCACCTAAAATCTCATAAAAAATAAAACCAAAGTATAGTTAAGACATTATTATCGCCGTAAGAAAATATTCAATTTGAAATTTTAGATATAACTGAAATGTAATACTTTCGGTGCAAGATGTGTTAGTATTTATTATCGTTGGAAATATAACAATTTTCGGTTTAACTTCCATATGAAGTATGTAAAACACATGCTTAATACGGAATTCGAAGCGAAAAACAATATACAATATACGAATTGATAATATCAGAACTTAAAATGCATATATGATACGGTTTAAATTATTCTGGAAATTCTAACCGGTATCTACTGAAATTTGAATGCACAGTGACACAATGACTGCCGTTTAAAATACACACTAAACCGGATGTAGGTACGGTATGTTAAAATGTCGAAATCAAAACGCGTTTTACACATTTATAACACAATGAAAGAAATAGAGAAAAATAAAAATACGAACGCGTAAACGTTTTGCTTACGAATCGATTCTGGAGCATGCCGGTGTGTAGATATGGGTTGGTCAACGTTATGGCCGGTGACTGTTAATGTCCGGCGCGCCCCGAGTTTCCCCGTGTTACTCGATAGTTTAACAAACGCGGTCCGCGCATCCGATTGTTCTCGTCGCGTCCTGCCGCACGCTGACGATGCGAAATTATTCCGAAGTGAAACTTCGCAGCAACGCGCGCTCGGGGTGAAATTTTCGAGGCCGCGACACGCGAACCGGCGGAACGTAAATCCTGTCACCGCGCGTGATGTAAAGCCGTGGCCACGGTTCTCGGTCTCCGCTTTGTCCGCGGTGTCTCCCCCGTTGTCTGTTTGTCGACCGCTCCGCCACGCACGTGCCAGTAGGACGACGCTTGTTCGGAGAGACGCGTACGCGGACGCGTAGAAATATTCAGTGACGCGACGCCCGGCGCGTATTTGCGCGGCGCGCGCGTGCGAAACTGTTAATAATTTCAATATAAATTCCGCGAAAGCGAATTTTAAAACGTTCCACTTCAATTCCGGTCACAACAAGTACGATATAATATATTAATCAATTTTCACACAGCCGCGCTACGCAAATTCAGTATCCCGTATGCGGGCAAATTAAATGTAAATATGTTGAGATTATAAAACGTGTGACCGTAGATGTTGGTTCTCAGGTACCGTTGACGAGAAACTGCCGCGTCTCAATTGATCTATGTCCGACCAGTCTATGTCACTAATTGATATATTTGTAAGTTATATTTTTCCATATTATTGTATTGAATGACAATACGAAAAAAAAAAAAAAAAACGAGTACGCGCGGATGTAGTGAAATTCCTTTCAGAGTCATTCAGCTGAATATTACGTTTGTATTGGAGTAAATTGAAAAATATACACCTAACTATTTTATTTCCGATTGAAATTAATTTAATTTATTATTGTTATTATTCATTTTCTTATTCTATTGTCACGAAAGATTTAATGGGCTTGTGACTACTGAAATAGCCGTGACATTTTTATTTACATTGTTTGTGTGTGTGTGTATGTGTTAGTGGTGGGAACAATCCCGATTTCGGATAGTTCGAAAATTCGAACGCTTGGATTTTAATACGGACAGACTTAATTTGTTCAGGATACGTTATTATCTGCATTCACCTAAGTCATGTATATTTTCGTAATCAGAAATGTGACCTTGATGATATGTTAAAAGTCACAATTTTAAATAACCAGTATAGATCGAGGATTGCGTTCATAGAGATAAAAGTGGTATATTCTGAATCAGGAGTTCGACCTGGAATATATATAAATAATTTCTCTGAATGATTTTATGATTGCATTCGTCGTGTCACTAGTGTGTGTGTGTGAGTGTGTAACAGCTGATGACGTGATCACGGCGCGTGCCGGTAAACTGGCGACCGACGACCGAGGCCGATCGTGACGCCGAGCGTGCCCGACGAAGATCTTTTATTTACATATAGTAAATAAATATGTAAAAAAAAAAATGTATGTATAAAAATTAAAAATAAATAAATGAACGAATGCGTCGCCTGGAGAATTACGGAATGTGTATTACACGACCGGTTTCAAACTAAAAAAGACGTTCTAGGATAATGGAGCCGGGTGTAGCCGCTGCTATAGGTAATTTAACGTATACGATTAAGTAACGATAAACCATTGCTTAGGAATAAATGATTCTGAGTGGAGTTCAGTTGATTGTGATGCTTTGTCAACAATATATATATATATTGTCATATTATAGTAAAATAATTAAATAGGCTTTATGTATTTAGTTTAATAATATTTGTTAAATGTTGTACTGATTTTCCGGTTTTCCTATGTTTTTTCCCAGTTTTTCACATTTTCTGGGAAAACTTCTGAGAAAATCGAAAAATAACCCTTCTATTAAATCCCCAGTCGGTTTTCCATTTAGAAACATCGCTATCGTTATAAATTGGAGTAAAATTACCTGGTAGAAAAGTTGTCCACAGAAAAAAAAAATAAACATCATTGTAAATCCATAAGCTTCTTCATTCCATTCAGAATCTAAAATTCGTCATCAGATATATCACAGTAAAAATGTAAAACGTGACCGAGTATAAACTATTAAATGAAGGAATGCATAGAAATAAATATATAATTCACTTATCATAAAACTCCAGCCGACGCATTCATTCATTTATTTATTTTTTATTTTTATATATAATTTTTTTATTTATACATATATATTTACGAGTATTAATCATTTAAATAATTTTGTTTTTACTTTATTATTTTGTTTTTTATTTATGATTTGGTGGTATTATTTATAGATGTCAATATGCTAAAAACACCTGTCGAACGTTCACGAGAATATAGAGCTCGGAAAAAATTATTGAAAAAACAAAAACCACCCGCACAAACAGCATCACAGCGTAAAGGAAAATATATGGCTCGACAGAAGGCTTTAAGAAATGCTGTCACCACTATTGTAGAGAATGAAACACTGATGAAGTTCTCTAGATCACGTGAATCCAGACAATCCACAATTCAGTACTAGCAGAGATGATGGTAACATTTTGTATAGTTATTTATGTGACCAAACTGGACAGGCTAAAGTTCCTGTTGAACAAGCTCAGGAAAAAATGTTCGTTCAAGATGATATGCATTAGGTCAATGCACAGTGAATCTGACTCAACTACAACCAAAAGGACTAAAAAAGCATGCGCATGAGTATAGACAGCGAAAAAATACGATAGAAGATGCCAATGCTATTGTTGTTCAAAGAACAGTTATCTCTCCACTTATTAATGTGTCATCGAATGTGAGTGATACAGGATAAATTTGTAAGTTCTTTAACAAAATAGTACTTTTACTTAAAAGTAAAGGTGAATTATTACGATACATAATATCAAATCTTCTGTCAGTGAATAATTCTCCATTTAAAATATTTCTAACTGGGCCGGCAGGACGTGACAGAACATTTTTAATCGCTATACACTAAATGATGGGATCTGCAATACTTCTGGTTCCGTTGAAAAAGCTGCAATAGCAATTGACGGCAATATAGTACATATAGTTCTTAAAATATCTCTGTCCAATCTTCATCAATTGCATACTGAAGATGTTCACCAATATCGAGCTTTATTCAAACACATTTGAGTTTTAATCATTAATGAAGTCAGCATGATCAGTGGGAAATTAATGGCAAGTATTGATGTACGACTGTAGCAAATAACTGATAATTCGAAAAAAAATTGTAGAGTATTGAATATGATATTGATAGGAGACTTACGACTTACCTTCTGTGGGAAACTTTTTATTAACAATTTTTCTTCGATTTACAATGATAGCACTTTTTCTGAAAACAAATCTGACTGGAGTGGTATTTTAAAGAGATCACTTTTTGATTTAGCCAAGAGTTTTACAACACATGGGAAAGTCGGTAAAATAGGTACAATATTTAAAAATATTATCGAAGAAAATATATAATACACGTGTAATTATTTTACCATAATACGACATGTATTGATAAAGTAACATTATCAACTGAAATCCCCTCATAATTGTTTTTTCGTTAGCAATGATTAATATTAGTGTTCGGATATACATTAAATTTCCCCTCTTATCTGTTCTCAGAACTTCTCATCTATAACAGTGGTTGCACCCATTCCCATTATTCTAAGGTAGCTTTTTTTATTATTACGATATTTTATTTATATTATTTGTAAAGCATATCTAATTATCTCACCTTGTTAACATATATTCTTGCATTCCGTTTTATTTTTTTAACGTATAAAAGCCGTTAAGTATAAATTATTAGAAATTAACTAATAAATAAATCTATGAGTATTATGCGTGGACATAAAACGCACACAACTTTTATAAATGACAAGTTTGAATAGGTTGAAGTTTAAGTCTATAATATAATAGGATCAGACTAGTCTCGAGACTTTGAATAACTTTTATGGCATTGTCCAGGTTATGAAACTACTCAATCTTGCTTATACCCTTAAAACCATACTGAGACTACATTATTTATTACTATTATTATTATTATTATTATGTTGATGGTAATGTCGTATATATTATATTATGACTAGTGGTGCAAAAAATATCATTTTCATTTGTCAAAATTTTCCTCGGTGGCATTTGTTTCGCTTATAAAGTTTCGTCTTGAATATAATAATAATATTAATAATATACAAAGCCTATAAGGATTTATGAAAACCGTTTTAACTCGATCTAAATTATGCGCACAAAATGTACAAAATATATTATGCAAACTAAAATAAATAACGTTATTTTCGTAAGAATACCATACGCCGACGTTGTAATATTGTATTCGAGACGTGTAAAAAGTTGCACACACCAGTGAATAAAACAATAACCAACGGCCAATGTATATATTATACGGATATGTATATTCGTGGCAGATGATTGCATTATCGTTATTGTTACGTCTTGTCCCTTCAAAAGCTAAATTATTCGCAAATTATATATTGTACATAACAAAAATAATAATATTATTGCAATAATACATGTAGTGGGTGGTCGAACTGTGGGATGGCGTGATGGTGTATATTCTCCTCACGACGTCTTCGCGTTCAATATTTATAATATTATATATATTTTAGATATTTCATAACTTATTTGTTCAAAAATCAGTATCATCCCTCCTCTACGCGTAATCATTTGACCGCCACCGAATACCAGTCACATAGTTTAACCCATAGTACGGTTCAGTTATAATTTATAAACACATACACGCTTATTAAAATAAGTAACAACATGTATCGAGAGTAAATTTCAAACTACTTTTGAAACAAACATTTTTGAACACATAAGTATAATATTGAACAAATTCAGAAATACTTCGTATTCTAATGGATACGCCGTTTAAAATGTTAAAATTATAGGTGAGAAGCTTGGATAATATATTATATATGGTCTTAATTTAGTTTTTAGTTATACCTATGATAAATTATTGCAATAAAAAATGGATTCTAAGTGGAACTCTGTAAACTAATAATTGTATAGAATCAGTTCTGTATTTTTTCTTTGTCGCAAAGATTACCCTAAAAATAACAAAAATAATACTGGCGAATCGTTATATGTTGTTAGTTTTTTTATTTTAAAAATTGTTTTAGAAATACTGTCGGGAATCTAAACAAGTTATTCAAATTAAGTTCAACCGGGTGAAAAATTCACAATTATTATTTTTTAATTTAACAATTAAAAAACGGGGAAAAAACAGAACATTAAGGTGTAAAATATATTTATATATGTATTCAAAAAATTTTTTTAGAAAAGTGTTGAAAATTTTGAAATCGTTTACAAGTAAAAATGAAAAATTCGTATTATAAGGATGTGGCATATATAAAAAAAATAGGAAATGTTCACTACTGTACTTTTAAAACAAATAGATTTTTTATTACACTACTTAGCATTTAATAATACTATTATACATTCCGCTATTAAATACCAAAGTACATAGAATAATTAATAATAAAGTATTAGTTACCTAAAAAATGATTATGATTTTTTTTTTAATTAACACGTTTAGTAATCGTGTAGGTAACCTGCAAAATTCGTACGGTCTCCTTGAAGACGTTTTTAAATGCAAAGATTTATTGTTGGTTTTAATTTTTAAAAAACAATAATAATAATTTCCACCCATTATCCTTCCCACAGTGCTTTTTTTTTTTGTGTCCCGTTTAAAAAAAGATTTTTTCAGAAATAAACCCCCGTAAAAATAAAACTAATTGACCATTATATTCAAAATGTTCAAAGAGCTTTAAAGTATATACGTATATTAAAATCTAGTGGAGTGAAACTATTGCAGAGAGGTGTTTTTGTCACTGTGGGTTAAAGCGTAGCCGCGGAATCGTTTTATTATTATTTTAATAGGAATTCTTTTCCGTAATAGTGGTAAAATGTGATTTCACTAAAATTAGAATATTTAGATAGCTAAGAGTTTTTATAATAGATATTAGGTACCAAGGTAAATGTGTATTTCAGCTAGACATTTTAATATGTTCAGTAATTTTGAAAGTGGTTACACAAAATTGTATACATTTCGTTAGGTACACTAACATCGTTGAACTAAAACTTTAACTTTCTATAACGGCCGATTACATTTTATTAAGATAACTACGTTACCGACAGTGGTCTCGAGTCTCAAAGAACTATAATGATAATAACATAATGAACATAGCAGCCAATTTAAATGAATGAAATTAACTATTGATTTATATATATATATTTTTTTTTTTTAATTTTTTTTTTTTTAGTGTTATTGAACAAAATTATCATAATTATGTACAGTACTACTGTCGCGCAGAAAAATATTACAATTTACCAGCCTCATAAAGAATATTTGCATTGTATTTTTTTTTTTTTCTTATTTATTGTTATAGTATTACCTATGTTATATTATTGAATTTAGCGATTCTTTTATTTTTCATTATAAATGGCTGCGAGAAAAATAAAAAGGAATAACAATCTTGAATATTGTGCAGTGGTTTTCTTTCCGCATGACTGATCTGAGCCCTGAGACCAGCATTTCAAAGTAAAATTGTAAAATCTCCTATAGTCCCGCCCGTTTTGTTTATTTTATTCTTATTAGTTCCGTTGCTCTGGGCTCACATTGAACATTCTACCATCAAAGGACATCGCGCGACGCACACGCTCAGAAATAGATGATTTCTGCGTCAATAGACAATATTCTTCCCAAAGTCAACTAGTTATTTTTGCAAAAGCCACACTTCCTTAATATTTTCTTTCACCGTTCAAATGGGAAGGGGAGAAAAAAAACACCTCGTTTAGAAGTTACTTTTTTATAATAATTTTTTTTTTAAGGACATACATTTTTCAGAGAGTATACAACAGTGATTTTCGTATGGATTTTAAGACAACAAATATACGATGTGCTATGTTATACATCTTGTTATATTATACGAATAACGTGGTCATCGTGCGAGATGTTATCGAGCAAACAGCGACAGTTATTATGCGATAATTTTCTGCTCAGCGCCAGTTTAATCATTTTATAATATGATGTTCGTTTAATATATATATATATATATATACGATGTCAAAATGTTCGGCATCGCTAATTTCACTGACGTTATACCGTAGACATTATTAACCGAACACGATTACCGCTAACAGCGAGAGAAAACAAGTGTATAGATATACCTACTTGTATATAATTCGGTATTCGATATAATGCAATTCGTATATTGGATATCGGTACTTCAGCCTTTAGCCGGACGTCAGCTGGTATACATCTAATAAATCGTTGAATCGCATAGCAGATTTAATCAAATTACCGTTTTTGCTAACAACTTGCAAACACATTTATCCCTTTTAGTCTAATTGGCCTTATCTGTTTGTCGTCGTGAATCGGACAATGCACAAACGCGGCGAATATTTGTATTACACGAAGAGTCGAAACAATTAACACGGCGTTATGATTCATAGCGAATACGTAAAACTACACCGAAGTACGGTTTCGATCGATTATTCTCAGGTCCGTAGAATGGAAACAATTTTAAAAATGCAATCTTGCCGTTTTGAAAACGTATTGTTACAATAATACCTATTACCGAAAATTAAAAAAAAATTAAATTATTTAACAAACGAAACTAATAATGTATAATTTCAAAAACTAAAAGACACCTTATTATAATTCAGTATGGGTATTTAAATTTTTAGAAAATTATATACTA